TGTCTGGCAGACAGGCTAACGTTAGCCCTATCTGCAGCAGACAGGGCTAACGCTAGCCCTGTCTGCTGCATCCGGGGCTAACGCTAGCCCTGTCTGCTGCATCCGGGGCTAACGCTAGCCCTGTCTGCTGCAGACAGGTCATCATCGTCACACTAATCTTCAGTCAGGTTCCAAAGATCCAATCTGTGTCGGATGTAAAACTGCATTGAAATGTGGCTCAGATCGGATATAAAAGTCAGATTCATTGAAAGAAACGAGTCACTTAAGGGGGAGAGGAATCAGACTTGGGCCACATTTGTCTGCAGTGAGAACGTAGCCTATGGGACAATGTCCCTCAGGTCACTTCCTGTGTCTCTCCAGCAGCTGGAGAGGAGCAGAAGGTGAGCAGTCAGACAGGAGCTGATCCAGATGTGGCACCTGAGGAGGTGGGGTCTTCAGAGAAGTCCTGGAGCTCCTCTGGTGGGTCTCCGTAGAAGGAGTTGAACTTGTGACTGGACACAGCGGCCAGCACCGCTCCCTGAAAGGAGACGAGGAGCATTAACACCAGAGGGCTCATCATGGAGCTTCTGAAGGACGTGGAGCAGGACGGGGGGAACCTTCAGCTTCCGTCTGGCGTTGAACTTCCTCAGCTGCTCCACGGTCTCTGGCAGGTGGATCTTGTAAGCGTAGCGGTCCCTTTCCTGCACCAAGAAGAGAGAAAACCTTCACAACCTGCTGCTGGTAGAAGCTCTGCTCTTCAGCTTCATGGCTTCCTCTGCAGGAACACATGTTCTGAAGAACAGCTGCGAAAACCAGGAAACTGGAGACGCGGTAATCTGGAGCTGCCAGAGATCAGGAGTTCAAAAGGTTCAGCCTCAAACTTCTAGTTAAAACATGGAGGGACGTCCTCTAAAGGTTCTCCACCCACAGAAATAATCCAGACAGAAATAATCCAGACAGAAAATAATCTAGACAGAAATAATCTAGACAGAAAATATCCAGACAGAAATAATCTAGACAGAAATAATCCAGACAGAAAATAATCCAGACAGAAAATATCCAGACAGAAAATAATCCAGACAGAAATAATCCAGACAGAAAATAATCCAGACAGAAATAATCCAGACAGAAATAATCCAGACAGAAAATAATCCAGACAGAAAATATCCAGACAGAAATAATCTAGACAGAAAATAATCCAGACAGAAAATAATCCAGACAGAAATAATCCAGACAGAAAATAATCCAGACAGAAATAATCCAGACATAAATAATCCAGACAGAAATAATCCAGACAGAAAATAATCCAGACAGAAAATATCCAGACAGAAATAATCTAGACAGAAAATAATCCAGACAGAAAATAATCCAGACAGAAATAATCCAGACAGAAAATAATCCAGACAGAAAATAATCCAGACAGAAAATAATCCAGACAGAAATAATCCAGACAGAAAATAATCCAGACAGAAATAATCCAGACAGAAATAATCCAGACAGAATCCAGAACAGACTCAGGCAGGAAGTGATGTGTAATGATGTGAAGCAGAACGGGAAGAAGGTTATGAGAGATCCAGATGGCTCTGATTGGCTGCTTTTAATGTTGGAGGAACAGATTATGGCGTCGCAGCCAAACTCTTCTGGTTCTTGGTAATCTGACCATCCTCATCCTCACCATGGAAACACGCCTGAAGCTGAATAATTCAGGAGCGAATAGAAACACCCAGAACAAGAAGACGCGTTCTGTCAGTCCAGCCGGATTTAACCTTTGATCAGTGAAAGCAGCTGCTTCCTGTGAACCAAACATCTGGAACCAGCAGAGGAGCGGCGGCAGCTTCCTACTCGCCGCCGTTACAGCGCTTCCTGTTTCTGATGGAGCAGCTCTAGCTAACCCTAACCCAGAACCAAACCAGAACCAGAACCAAACCAGAACCAAACCAGAACCAGAACCAGAACTGTTCTGGTTCCATCTGTAAATTGTGGAAGAGTCCAGAGTTTAGATTAGAGCCGATGATAGAGGGATTGCTGAGAGAGGAAGGACCTGTCCAGGTGAGCTTCATTGGAGCTCTGCTGACTCGTAGCTCGTACCTTCAGCCAGGGGTGGTTCAGCGCCTCGTAGACGGTGATCCTCTCTGCAGGGTCCAGCATCAGCATGCGCCTCACCAGGTCCTTGGCGCTCTCTGAGATGTGGCTCCACTGGCGGGGATTCATCTGGAAACACAAAGACTTTTCCAGAGGCAGCAATGAACATGCAGCTCAACATAATTCCTCCTTTTAACACGTTTAGAGCGTTTAGCCATCTAATGATTATTCAGTGTTTGCTGGGAGCGGGCCGGCGCTGACCCAGATGGAGCGGGCCGGCGCTGACCCGCCCCCGGCGCTGACCCAGATGGAGCGGGCCGGCGCTGACCCAGGTGGAGCGGGCCGGCGCTGACCCGCCCCCGGCGCTGACCCAGGTGGAGCGGGCCGGCGCTGACCCAGATGGAGCGGGCCGGCGCTGACCCGCCCCCGGCGCTGACCCAGGTGGAGCGGGCCGGCGCTGACCCGCCCCCGGCGCTGACCCAGGTGGAGCGGGCCGGCGCTGACCCAGATGGAGCGGGCCGGCGCTGACCCGCCCCCGGCCCTGACCCAGGTGGAGCGGGCCGGCGCTGACCCGCCCCCGGCGCTGACCCAGGTGGAGCGGGCCGGCGCTGACCCGCCCCCGGCGCTGACCCAGGTGGAGCGGGCCGGCGCTGACCCGCCCCCGGCGCTGACCCAGGTGGAGCGGGCCGGCGCTGACCCAGATGGAGCGGGCCGGCGCTGACCCGCCCCCGGCCCTGACCCAGGTGGAGCGGGCCGGCGCTGACCCGCCCCCGGCGCTGACCCAGGTGGAGCGGGCCGGCGCTGACCCGCCCCCGGCGCTGACCCAGGTGGAGCGGGCCGGCGCTGACCCGCCCCCGGCGCTGACCCAGGTGGAGCGGGCCGGCGCTGACCCGCCCCCGGCGCTGACCCAGATGGAGCGGGCCGGCGCTGACCTTGGATTTGCTTTTGCAGACGGCTTCAAACAGTCGCTCCTTGATGCCGTGGAACGGCAGGCAGCCGGACAGCAGGATGAAGAGGACGACTCCGCAGCCCCACACGTCCACCGGTTTACCGTACGGCTCCCTCTTCACCACCTCAGGAGCCATGAAGTGAGGAGTTCCCACCCGGCCTGCGGGGGGGAGGGAGACGGGTCGGTAAAGGAACAGATGCGGCACATTTCCTCTTCTGATATTACACAACAGAGATAAGAGGAACTTCCTGTTTTATCAGCTGCTGGAGAGATGGTCAAAGAAAACAGGAAACTGATCAGCTGTGGACAGGAAATAGGAAACAAGGCGTCTCAGCAGCGTCATCATCATCATCATCATCATGAGCGTGCCGCTGTTGCTCCGACTCAGAGCCTGACTGAAGGAACATCTGGAACATCTGCTTTCTGAGCACCTTCCAATCATCAGACCCATCTTTCTATCATGGGTTCACCGCAGCATGAAGCTGCCACCGCCGTGTTTCACCATGGTGGAGTGGTTATTTTCTGCCACTCACTGGATGGTGCCTGGTGATGTCGCTGCGTCTCTAATCTGCAACGCAAAATGGATCCCTCAAGGTTTCCTTCAAATTCAGTTCTATTCAGTTTATTTCTATAGCTCCAGTTCACATCAGGTCATCTCAGGTCACTTTATAGATCCAGATCAACCAGATCATCCAGTCAGATTGATTCAAAGTTTTCTATCTAAGGAAAACCAGCTGATTGCATCGACTCATTGACTCTTCAGCAATCCCTCACACTAAGCATGCTTGTAGCGACAGTGGAGAGGAAAAACTCCCTTTGAACAGGAAGAAACCTCCAGCAGAACCAGGCTCAGTGTGAGCGGCCATCTGCCGAGGCCGACTGGGGTTCAAGGAGACAGAAGCAGACATAGAAAAAGAAGCATAGATACAACAACATGGTTATTTCCTCCAAATGTTATATAGTTTACTCTACTTACTCCTATAGGTTAGGCTAGGCTTATGAATGAGAGAGAAATGTTTTGTTTAGACCATTACTATGGCAACCAGGTAGGAAGCTTGTTGAAGAGGAGGAGATGAACCTTCTGCTGCTCAGGCTGGATCAAACCAGTTCGATTGTTTGTTCTGAATATTATGGAGATCTCTCAGATGTCTCAGAATCACAGAAAGGTTAGAAAATGTTTTCCCTGTTTGGTCCAAACCGCCCCGGACGGTCCTCTGTGTTCCTCTATGAGAGCCGCCTGCTGGCTTCTTCTTTGTTCCTTCTGGACTCGCACTGAGGCTAAATGTTAGCATTAAAGGAGCAGCTAACTGATACAGCTAACAGACATGGCTAACATAAACAGCTATTAGCAACAGCTATCAGGAGCAGCTAATACTGACAGGGTCATCATAGTGGGAGATTTTAACATCCATGCTGACATTGAAGGCGATAGCTTAAGAGCAGCCTTTAATGCTATCTTAGACACTATTGGCTTTGTTCAAAATGTGAATAGTCCCACGCATTCTCATCTTCATACTTTGGATCTTGTGCTGACATACGGCATAGAATGTGAAGAAATAACAGGATTTCCTCACAACCCTGTCCTCTCTGACCACTTTCTAATAACCTTCAGGATTACTTTAACAGAGTTCTCCTCCCCCAAAAGAAGGTTCAATTTTAGTAGATCTTTATCAGATAGTGCAGTTATAAATTTTAAAGAATCTGCTTCACTTTCTCTCTGCTCTGTGTCACTGAGCAGTGCTGCAGAGTGCAAAAGCTTAGCTTATTCCCCTTCACAGGTTGATGATTTTGTTGATGGGGTTGCTAGTTCTCTGCGTATTGCCTTAGACAACGCAGCTCCTTTGAAAATGAAAACCGTTAAAAATAGAAAGCTTGCTCCTTGGTTTAATGCAGAGCTGCGTACTTTGAAGCAAAATGCTAGGAAACTGGAGAGAAAATATCGCTCCACAGGCCTGCGAGAGTCCTTCCTAGTCTGGAAAAATGGTTTACTGCTGTATAAGAGGACCCTTTGTAAAGCAAGAGCAGCATACTTCTCCTCATTAATAGAGGAGAATAAGAATAATCCTAGATTTCTTTTTAATACAGTTGCCAAACTCACCCAGAGCCATAGCTCTGTTGAACCGTCCATTCCACCTGCTCTTAGCAGCAATGATTTTATGGGATTCTTTATAAATAAGATTGATCTTATTAAAAATAAGATCATAAGCACTCCTCTATCCGCGATTGTACCTGAGGTAGTCATGGAATCTGAACCGGGTTTAGACTGCTTTGATCCAGTTGAACTCTCTGAATTAGCAAAATTATTGTCTTCATCTAAGCCTTCAACTTGTATGTTAGATCCAGTTCCAACCAGGTTATTTAAGGAGGTATTCCCTTTGATCTCCTCCTCCATTTTAGATGTGATTAATCTATCTCTGTTACAGGGATATGTACCTAAAGCTTTTAAGATTGCTGTAATTAAACCTCTGCTTAAGAAACCGTCTCTTGACCCAGATGACTTGGTCAATTATAGACCTATATCCAATCTTCCTTTCTTATCCAAAATTCTTGAGAAAGTAGTTGCCAAACAAGTTTGCGATCACTTCCACCATAATGAACTTTTTGAAGAGTTTCAGTCTGGCTTTAGAGCTCATCATAGCACTGAAACAGCTCTGGTGAAAGTCACTAATGATATTCTCATGGCCTCAGATAATGGACTTGTATCTGTGCTCGTCCTGTTGGATCTTAGTGCTGCATTTGATACAGTTGACCATAATATTCTTTTAGAAAGACTTGAATATTTTGTTGGAATTAAAGGAACAGCACTAGACTGGTTTAAATCTTATCTATCTGATCGAATTCAGTTTGTTCATGTTAATGATAGATCTTCAACACGCTCAAAGGTTACCTGTGGAGTACCACAGGGATCAGTGCTAGGACCAATTCTCTTTACTTTATACATGCTCCCAATTGGTAGAATTATTAGACAGCATGGGATTAATTTCCACTGTTATGCTGATGATACCCAGCTATATCTGTCTATAAATCCAGATGAAGCTAACCCATTACATAGATTACAGGCATGTCTTGAAGACATAAAAACCTGGATGACTCTTAACTTTCTGCTTCTGAATGCAGACAAAACAGAAGTTATAGTCTTTGGACCAGAGTCTCTGAAAAAGAAACTGATTAGTCAGTCACTTCATTTGGATGGGATTAAACTGATTTCAGATAATAAAGTAAAAAATCTTGGTGTTATTTTTGATCAGGACCTGTCATTTAAATCCCATATCAAAGAGGTTTCTAGAATTTCCTTCTTTCATCTGAGGAACATTGCAAAAATTAGAAATATCCTGTCCAGGGGTGATGCTGAGAAACTAGTCCATGCATTTGTTACTTCAAGGCTGGACTATTGTAATTCTTTACTATCAGGAAGTCCACAAACTGTAGTTAAAAGCCTTCAGCTGATCCAAAATGCTGCAGCCAGAGTTCTAATGAAAATAAAAAAGAGAGATCATATCTCTCCTATCCTGGCTTCCCTTCATTGGCTTCCTGTTAAATCAAGAATAGAATTTAAAATCCTTCTTCTCACATATAAAGCCTTAAATGGCCAAGCTCCATCTTATATCAGAGATCTGATTGTTCCTTATGTTCCTAACAGAGCACTTCGCTCTCAATCTGCAGGTTTACTAGTGGTTCCTAGAATTTCTAAAAGTAGAATGGGAGGCAGATCTTTTAGTTATCAGGCTCCTCTCCTGTGGAACCAACTACCAGTTTTAGTCCGTGAGGCAGACACCCTGTCTACTTTTAAGGCTAGGCTTAAAACTTTCCTTTTTGATAAAGCTTCTAGTTAGAGTGGCTCAGGTTATCCTGAGCTATCTCTATAGTTATGCTGCTATAGGCTTAGACTGCTGGAGGACATAGGGACCCCCATTTCATCATTCTGCTTCATTCTCTCTCTGTTCTCCTATTCTGCAGAATCTGTTAGTTCAATCTCTAACCTTCTGCTCTCTCTGCTTTTCCTCAGAGTAGCTTTGCCTCGTCTGTTCCTGTTTGGCTGTGACGTCATCCTGGAAAAAAAACATCAGCTGTGCTGCTTCTATCAACACCCTTGTTAATAGATGTTGGAGATCGGCCTGTTTTCCAGTGTGGTCCTGTTTCTCTGACCGTGACTGAGTGGATGTGCTCTCTTCGTCCTCTGGCATGGGAGCTGCCTTGGAGCTCGTCTGCCTGGCTGTGTGTTTCCTGGACGGGGCCGCCTTTTACAGCTGCTTTTTGTATCTCTGCTTCTGTCTCCTTGAACCCCAGTCGGCCTCGGCAGATGGCCGCTCACACTGAGCCTGGTTCTGCTGGAGGTTTCTTCCTGTTAAAAGGGAGTTTTTCCTCTCCACTGTCGCTACAAGCATGCTTAGTGTGGGGGATTGTATTTGAGTCAATGAGTCAATGCAATCAACTGGTTTTCCTTAGATAGAAAACTTTGTATCAATTTGACTGTATGATCTGGTTGAACTGTAAAGTGCCTTGAGATGACATGTGTTGTGAATTTGGCGCTATATAAATAAACTGAATTGAATTGAATTGAATTAATGAAAACAGCTAACAGGAGCAGCTAACAGATACAGCTAACAGACACAGCTAACATAAACAGCTATTAGCAACAGCTATCAGGAGCAGCTAACAGTAGCAGCTAACAGCAACAGCTATCAGAAGCAGCTAACAGTAGCAGCTAACAGCAACAGCTATCAGAAGCAGCTAACAGATACAGCTAACATAAACAGCTATCAGGAGCAGCTAACAATAGGAGCTAACAGAAACAGCTAACAGGAGCAGCTAACAGATAAAGCTGACAGAAAAAGCTATAGACCAGATAACGGGAGCAGCTAACAGAAGCAGCTAAAGGGAGCAGCTAACTGGTGCAGCTAACGGTAACAGCTAACAGAAGCAGCTAACGGGACCAGCTAACGGGAGCAGCTAACTGGTGCAGCTAATGGGAGCAGCTAACTGTTGCAGCTAACTGTGCAGCTAACGGGTGCAGCTAACGGGAGCAGCTAATTGGTGCAGCGAACTGGTGCAGCTAATGGGAATAGCTAGCGGGAGCAGCTAACGGGAGCAGCTAATTGGTGCAGCTAACGGGAGCAACTAACTGGTAGCAGCTAACCGGAGCAGCTAACAGGAGCAGCTAACTGGTGCAGCTAATGGAAGCAGCTAACAGGACCAGCTAACGGGAGCAGCTAACTGGTAGCAGCTAACCGGAGCAGCTAACAGGAGCAGCTAACTGGTGCAGGTAATGGAAGCAGCTAACAGGACCAGCTAATGGGAGCAGCTAACGGGACCAGCTAATGGGAGCAGCTAACGGGAGCAGCTAACTGGAGCAGCTAATGGGAGCAGCTAATGGGAGCAGCTAACTGGTGCAGCTAACGGGAGCAGCTAATTGGTGCAGCTAACGGGAGCAGCTAACTGGTGCAGCTAACGGGAGCAGCTAATTGGTGCAGCTAACGGGAGCAGCTAACTGGTGCAGCTAACTGGTGCAGCTAATGGGAGCAGCTAATTGGTGCAGCTAATTGGTGCAGCTAACTGGTAGCAGCTAACTGGAGCAGCTAATGGGAGCAGCTAACGGGAGCAGCTAACAGGAGCAGCTAACTGGTGCAGCTAATGGAAGCAGCTAACAGGACCAGCTAATGGGAGCAGCTAACTGGTGCAGCTAACTGATGCAGCTAACGGGAGCAGCTAATTGGTGCAGCTAACGGGAGCAGCTAACTGGTAGCAGCTAACTGGAGCAGCTAACTGGTGCAGCTAATTGGTGCAGCTAACGGGAGCAGCTAACTGGTAGCAGCTAACTGGAGCAGCTAATGGGAGCAGCTAACTGGTGCAGCTAACGGGAGCAGCTAACGGGCGCAGCTAACCGGAGAAGCTAACTGGTAGCAGCTAACGGGAGCAGCTAATTGGTGCAGCTAACTGGTGCAGCTAACGGGAGCAGCTAACGGGCGCAGCTAACCGGAGAAGCTAACTGGTAGCAGCTAACGGGAGCAGCTAATTGGTGCAGCTAACTGGTGCAGCTAATGGGAGCAGCTAACTGGTAGCACCTAACGGGAGCAGCTAACATGAAGACCCTTTGCTCCTTCTTGTGATAAATCCTTCATGCGTCCAGAAATGTTGCTAGGCGACGCAGAGGAAGCAGAAATTAATTGAGAAAACAAACGAATGTTTGATGGAAGCTGAGGAAACGTTTTCACAAACAGCCTGATGCAAAGTTTGTTCCCTTTCTTAGTTTCACCATGATTGCAGAAAACAGACATAGATCCAGAAGAAAAGGACCAGAAAGAAGCGTGGCATCTCTGCAGGCTGCAGCGTCCCTCAGCATACCAGGAAATGAATCAAGTAGAGGACAAATTAGAGAAGTGGCAGCTATATAAATATCCACAAAAGCCAAAGAGGAAGTCACGTTAGAAAAGAAAAAACTCAAAGCAGAGGTTCAGCTCATTTTCCTGCTTTTCAAGCTTCCTATTTGTGGTCACTTTCAGAGGAACTTCCTTTTGCAAGCATTAGCTGGTAATATGAACCAGCAGCAATAGTTCATTAGGTTGCTCACAGCAGGTGGACCATTTGGAGAAGAACCAGAAGAACCCGATGAGCAGCAGAGCTTCAGAGGACTGGGAGGGTTTGGATCTGAATAAAGAAATAAGGACTTTTCCTACAACCTGAGACCTGCTGGACTGCAGGATCCCAGACACACTCAGATCTGTCCTCTACGCCTTTCAGGACCAGCTGCAGTCTGACAGGTTCTACCTCGTTTTACAGATTAAATATGCTGAGAAATAAAACATTTCATTGAAAATATACTCAGCAATTTGACATTAAACCAAGAATACACTAAATTTGAAAGGTTTGTATTTTCTGCATTACTCTCTGAAGTTGCCTAATTTAACTGATTACTTTAACAGCCCCCCCCCCCCCCCCCCCCGAAGAAGGGTTAACTTTAGCAGATCATTATCAGATAGTTTAATTATACATTTTAAATAATCAGTTCTCCTTTCTCTCCTCTGTCGCTGAGCAGCTGCAGAAGGAAAAAGTTTAGTTTATTCCCCGTCACAGAATGAAAATGAAAAAGAGAGATCATATCTCTCCTATCCTGGCTTCTCTTCCTTGGCTTCCTGTTAAATCCAGAATAGAATTTAAAATCCTCCTTCTCACATAAAGCCTTAAATGGCCAAGCTCCATCTGATATCAGAGATCTGATTGTTCCTGCATTATTTTTATACTTTCACTAGTTTTAAAAATTGAACTTTTACACTTTTACTGGAGTAAAAAGCTGAAGTTGATCCTCTTACTTCTATAAAAGTGTTTTAAACAGCAGTATTTATAGTGGAGGAATAAAGATGAATAGTCAGACAGCTCTGTTAGCAGCTAAAGGTGAGAGAAGCTGTTTCCGTCCCGGTGAGGAGCAAACAGGTTCAAACATGCCGCTGTGACTGAAACCATGACCAGTATCTGTTTCACAGCATTTCCCACCAGAATCCATCAGCGGTTAAGATTCTGAGGAAAAATCCAGTTCCTGATCATTTCCTCTGTGCTGAGGTTCCATCCTGGAGCCACGGGGGGAAAACTTTACCTCCTGCCACCAAGCCGGACTCTCCCAGCTGCACGGCCACGCCGAACCCTCCCAGTTTGACCGGAGCAGAGTTCTCTTTGGTCGCCAGCAGGACGCAGTGAGGCTGAGGAGGAGAGCAGAGGGACAGAGGTGATGAGAGGGTTATGATCCATAGAAATATGACTAAAGATACGCCCACGCATCAGCCACACAGAACACAACCGCTTTCTCTATCCTAGTGGGGACTTTTCTTTGACTTCTATTCATTAAATGCTCTAAGTTTTACCATCGCATCTCTAATGCAGACGAGACCAGCTGCTCCCCACTTTTACCTGAGTCCCCCAACTGTATCATATTCCTGGCAAATGGTCCTCATATGGGAACAAAAACAATGACACACATACCATTTTGTATATCTATCCCTGTTAGGACTGATTAACCAGCACTGATAGTTTCAGCACCATGGAAACGGGCTAATATGGACCTCTGGGAGGGCTGTGCATCAGAGCCCAACAAACCCTAATCCCAACCTTAGTCGTAACCCTAACCCCGCCCTGACCACCGCCCGTAACCCTGACAACCATAGGCCTCCTGAACATGGAGCTAATGGTCCAACCAGACCGTCTGTGGATGTGTGCTGACCTTTGACCTCCATCCATTCAGCTTCAGTCTCCCAGAAAACCTATGTGTGGACATTGGTCTGCCAGCTGAGCCCCTCCCTCTCACTACTGTCTAATTTTGGTGACACAAACTGCAGTAATCTGTAATCTGGGTGTCATTTCTGTTCTACATCCAGGCTGTAATCAGATCCCTGAGAGAAGCCTTCGCTCTGCCTGCTGAGTGACAGCAAGGGGGAGTAGCCTGATTCAGTCTTTATTGTTGCTCAACATCACATCGTTCAGCGCTTCTCTCTGCGCTGCAGAGAGCGCGGCGGGTCGGAGATCATGAACAGGGTGGCAGCAGGAGGAAGAATCTGCTCTCATTTCCTTTGCTTTTTAGCTGTAGTTAAATGTGCAGCAACACAAGGACAAGATCAGAGTCTTTTATCGTGGATTATTGTGTCTACAGACTCAAAGACTGGATTAGTTTCATCTACAGACAGAGAGGAAGCTGCCTGATGTGCAGATCTCAGAGATAAGGTGAGTTCATTTTACTTTCCTGCAGTAAATTACCCCCCATTAGCCACAAAGAGTCAGAGAGGCTTCGGTGAGGAGGGGCTGCGGCCATAAACCACAGCTGATGGGTTGCTCAATTAATGCAACACAAATCAAGCAGGAAGTCAAAATGTGCTCAGAGCAGCAAATAGTGAAGAAGTGAGGAGAGACTGAAGTTGATCTGCAGGATGGAGAACCAGACCCTCAGCAACACAAATATCTCTGGGTGTGTGGATGATGAACTGCTCCGGACGCCGCTGGCGGCGCTCTACTCCGCCATCTTCATCCTGGGTCTCCCTGGCAACCTGCTGGCTCTCTGGGTGTTTCTCTGCGTTCACTCCAAGAAGAACTCCATGCGGGTGTTCCTCATTAACCTGGCCTTGGCGGACCTGCTGCTGATCGTCTGCCTGCCGTTTAGGATCCAGTACCACGTGTCTGGGAACCAGTGGAAGCTGGTGGGCTGGCTGTGTAAGCTGGTGGGCTACCTCTTCTACATGAACATGTACATCAGCATCACTCTGCTGGGGCTGATCAGCGTCGACCGCTACCTCAGGATCTACGGCAGCGTCAGGACGCGCAGTAAGCTGCAGTCCCCGCTGCGGAGCATGGTGGTCTGCGCCTTCGTTTGGTTGGTCTCCCTGGCTCTGATGATACCCGTGGTCGTTTATGAAGATTATGAGGAATCTACAGAAAAGTGAGTTTAAAATCCTCCTTCTCACATATAAAGCCTTAAATGGCCAAGCTCCATCTGATATCAGAGATCTGATTGTTCCTGATGTTCCTAACAGAGCACTTCGCTCTCAATCTGCAGGTTTACTAGTGGTTCCTAGAATTTCTAAAAGTAGAATGGGAGGCAGATCTTTTAGTTCTCAGGCTCCTCTCCTGTGGAACCAACTACCAGTTTTAGTCCGTGAGGCAGACACCCTGTCTACTTTTAAGGCTAGGCTTAAAACTTTCCTTTTTGATAAAGCTTCTAGTTAGAGTGGCTCAGGTTATCCTGATCTATCTCTATAGTTATGCTGCTATAGGCTTAGACTGCTGGAGGACATAGGGACCCCTTTTTCATCATTCTGCTTCATTCTATCTCTATTCTCCCACTCTGCAGAATCTGTTAGTTCAATCTCTAACGTTCTGCTCTCTCTGCTTTTTCTCATAGTAGCTTCATCTGGTCTGTTCCTGTTTGGCTGTGACTCCATCCTGGAGAGAAATATCAGCTGTGCTGCTGCCATCAACACCTTTGTTTCTAGATGTTGGAGCTTGGCCTGTTTTCCAGTGTAGTCCTGTTTCTCTGACTGTGACTAACTGGATGTGCTCTCTTCATCCTCTGACATGGGAGCTGGCTCGGAGCTCGTCTGTCTGGCTGTGTGTTTCCTGGACGGGGCCGCCTGTGGAGCTGGTTGACAGTTGCCTTTTGTATCTATGCTTCTTTTTCTATGTCTGCTTCTGTCTCCTTGAACCCCAGTGGGCCTCAGCAGATGGCTGCTCACACTGAGCCTGGTTCTGCTGGAGGTTTCTTCCTGTTCAAAGGGAGTTTTTCCTCTCCACTGTCGCTACAAGCATGCTTAGTGTGAGGGATTGCTGAAGAGTCAATGAGTCGATGCAATCAGCTGGTTTTCCTTAGATAGAAAACTTTGAATCAATGATCTGGTGAACTGGAAAGTGTTGTGAATTGGAGCTATAGAAATAAACTGAATAGAATCGAGTCCTAGTCAAAGGTGGAGTGTTTTGTTCAGGTTGTGACTGATCAGCTTTTCTTTTTTTTTTTAGATGTTTCCACTACAGGAAGACAGACGTAAGGAAAGCCTCCATCAAACTCTTCATAGTGGTTGTCTTCTGGCTGATCTTCACTGCTCTCATGGTTTCCTATGGAAAGATCGGCCAGAAGCTCCTAAAGAGATCCCATCAGAATTCAAATCTGCCTAATGCGTCCCACTACAGCCGAATCGCCAGGAAGTCCTTCTTCATCCTGTTCGTGTTCATCGTCTGCTTCGTTCCGTACCACATTTTCCGAGGGTTTTACATAAAAACCCAGATCACAGACAGCAGCTGTTACTGGAGGAACCTGGCTGATAAATTCAATGAGATTTCTCTAGTATTCTCTGCTTTGAACAGCTGCCTGGACCCCATCATGTTCTTTCTGCTGTCCGCCTCAGTGAGGAGGGAGGTGCGGCGCTTCATGAACAGCATGTTTCGAACCCGGGTCAGCAGTGAAGCCAGTGGGGGGAACACCACCTCAGAACTAGACAGCAGGAGACCTTCAAAGGACCCCATGGTCAGAAACCTCACTGAGAGGGAAGAACGTTCATGCAGCTCTAACTGAGCCCAGAGACGGCTCTGGGTGGTCCACCTTTGACCTGAAGACACCATGGGGTCACCATGGACAAGTCCAAAGGACAGGGTCACCACAGACAAGTCCAAAGGACAGGGTCAAAAGGACAGGGTCACCACGGACAAGTCCAAAGGACAGGGTAAAAAGGACAGGGTCACCACGGACAAGTCCAAAGGACAGGGTCAAAAGGACAGGGTCACCACAGACAAGTCCAAAGGACAGGGTCACCTCGGACAAGTCCAAAGGACAGGGTCACCATGGACAAGTCCAAAGGACAGGGTCACCACAGACAAGTCCAAAGGACAGGGTCAAAAGGACAGGGTCACCACGGACAAGTCCAAAGGACAGGGTCAAAAGGACAGGGTCACCACGGACAAGTCCAAAGGACAGGGTCAAAAGGACAGGGTCACCACAGACAAGTCCAAAGGACAGGGTAAAAAGGACAGGGTCACCACGGACAAGTCCAAAGGACAGGGTCAAAAGGACAGGGTCACCACAGACAAGTCCAAAGGACAGGGTCACCTCGGACAAGTCCAAAGGACAGGGTCACCATGGACAAGTCCAAAGGACAGGGTCACCACAGACAAGTCCAAAGGACAGGGTCAAAAGGACAGGGTCACCACGGACAAGTCCAAAGGACAGGGTCAAAAGGACAGGGTCACCACGGACAAGTCCAAAGGACAGGGTCAAAAGGACAGGGTCACCACAGACAAGTCCAAAGGACAGGGTCACCATGTATTCTACCATTGATGCCTTTATAACTTTCATAGATGTATTTGTGTAAACACACTGGATATTAGCAAAGTATTGTACTGCCATATGGGAGGAAATACTACTAAAGTATTCAAAGTTTTCACTTTCACATTCACTCACATTAAAACCATAAAACGTATAAAGAATATTGAAAGACCAACAGGATTTATGAACCCACCCATCCATC